AGATAATCGAACAGACAATGGCTGAAAGCCAGATCTGCTAGAGATGTTTCTCTCAGGCCGATTGAGTCGAAACTAGGCCTGAGAGGAAGGAACAAGGGGCGTGGTCAAAAAACTATGGCTCCCCTTATGTGAGTGACATTGAGTTGACCATGCCTACCCAGTCATATGATCAAGCCATGCCCACTGTCACATGACCGTCAAGCCATGCCCACAAAATAAGCCATGCCCACAGAACCGGTAGTAAAATTTTTTAGAACCCACCCAATAAGAGGGCTCTTTCAGTCCTTTTCCTGATCACACTGGGGGTACCACAACCCATCACAAATGGGATCACAAATGGTGATCATGTGATCCGGGACTCTGCAACCATTGTAAACATATGCCGGTTACCGAACACAAATAACAAATTTTTATCACATGACTGTGGGGATGCTATAATGCTCATAACTGCAAGGACTGGTCATAAGTCATTTTTTTTAGTGCTGTTGTAATTTAGACAGGTCACTAAATGAATGGTTATAAGTCAAGGTCTACCTGTGCTCCCTGTTCCCAAATGGCCTGAGTTAAATCTATTTAGTCAATTTCACTTGCAATGATTGTTCTTGAATCCCAGTAAAGGGGTTACTGCAGTGGTGAAATCCAAATTTTTTTACTACCGGTTCTGTCAGCGTGGCTTGGTGGGCATGGTTTGGCTTGGTGGGCATGACTTGGTGGGCGTGGCAGGGGAAGGATACTGCAAAATTCCCATTTCCTCCCCACTCCTGGGAGAAGGATATTGTAAAATCTCCATTTCCACCCCACTCTGGGACCAGCCAGAGGTAGTATTTGCCGGTTCTCCGAACTACTCAAAATTTCTGCTCCTGGTTCTCCAGAATCTGTCAGGACCTGCTGGATTTCACCCCTGGGTTACTGGTATTCACCAGAGCTTGTGCTGAAACTGGGCTCTTTAATTAAGAGAATCTTTGCATTAGTAATTGACTTAGGTATTACTTAGCTGCTAGATAGGGAAGAGTATAAAAATTAACATGGGAGACTCATTCCCCAGCCACTACCATATTATGAAACACAGCTCTATCCTGTTTTTCTCATACCGGTAGTCCTTGACATACGACCAGAATTGAGCCCAAAACTTCTTTGCTACGTGAGACGGTTGTTAAGTGAATTTTGACCCATTTTACAACTTTACTCGCCACAGCTGTAAAGTGAATCACTGCTGTTGTTACGTTAGTAACACGGCTGTTAACTGAATCTGACTTCCCCATTGACCTTGCTTTTCAGAAGGCTGCAAAAGTTGATCACATGACACTGGGACACTGCAACTGTCATAAATGGGGATGCTGCAATAGTCGTGTGAAAAACGGTCATACAGGAAGTCACTTTTTTTCAGTGCCGTTGTAACTTCGAACGGTCAATAAATGAACTGTTGTAAATCTAGGACTATTTGTACTCACAAATTAACAAGCCTTCTTTGTGGCATAGAATTTAAGAGTACCCTACCCCAGCTGATGCTCTCCAAATGTGTTGGGGTCTACCAAGCCCATAAAAGAAGCTAGTGGATGTCCAAGGTTATAATGCACAATGGTTTCTACAAAATGATTTTTTTTTTTATTTGATTTATATGCCGCTCTTCTCCGGAGACTCAGGGCAGCTTACAATGCTCTAAGCAATAGCCTTCATTCTTTTGTATATTTATACAAAGTCAGCTTATTGCCCCCACAAACTGGGTCCTCATTTAACCTACCTTTGAAAGGGTGGAAGGCTGAGTCAACCTTGAGCCTGGTAAGATTCGAACCTGCAGAAATTGCAGGCAGCTGTGTTAATTACAGGGTGCATTAAACCACTGTACTACCAAGGCTCGATTGAGTATACCCTTGTCAAACCTGACTCGACTCCCATGCTGCTTTCGCTCCCAGTTTTGCCAAAGTGACAGGAGGAGGGTGGTGATTTTCTAAGGGGCGGAGGAAGACTATGGAATGCAAGAGAACCTTCTGTTGCTGGAGAAACATTATCCTACCAAGGTCAAGTTATGAAGAATGTTTGACCGGCAAAGACAGTTTTTTACAAAGCCAAAGAACTGAACTCAATTGGTGAACTATGAGTTGCGGGTGGCCCAGAGGGGAAAAGGGGAGTTACTTAATGTGGGTTTTCATGGGAAAATCTCAGAACTGACTTTGCTTCTGCTGTGCCTAGATTGAGCTTTCAATAAAGCTACACTCTTGGTCAAAGAGCCGGGAGCTTCTTTTGTTGAATGTGCCAAATGGGACGGTTGACAACTCTGCTACCAAATTAAAGACAGGAAGAAGATTACTTTCCTATCACTGCACAGGGCATTTTCAGACAACCAGCTTTTCTGTTTGCCAACCTTTCTTAATCAAGTTGAAAACGCATCTAGGATTGATCTGGACTGGCTTAACTTTTCCAGGTCTATTTGAACGTTATTATAAGCACGTTTAGGTTTATCTGTCTGCCAGTCTACAATGCTTGCAAGGAACTACCAGTCAATCAGTATAAGCCCTCTCTAGTTAACAGCTGAGCATAGATAAATGTTAAGCACTCAAGACTTGCTTAACTGGCCTGTAACTGAGTGCCTCAACCTGCTGCTTTTGGTCCATTCCTAAGTACATGTCTCTTTCCCTTTTCACAAAACTAGAATTGCTAGCATTTCTGCGCATTTCTACATTTGTCATGATTTGCTTAAAAAATCCCCTAGACTGGCAGTTCTCCATTGTTTTCAACTGCAAACCTTGGGTTATGATCTCATGTAAGCAGGGAGAGATTTTTGTCAGCTCAAAAAAGAAAGTGCTTCTTCGATTAGTTCATATTAGCTTTCAATGTGCAATTGTAAACCACCTTATCTGGATTTTAAATACCCATCTAAGTGAATGCTATTCATTGTTTCTGCCTCTCCAGAGGTTCACAGCATTTGGGACATTCAGGTAAGAGAGAAATCCTGCCTGCTCAATTCCTCCATCCCGTTTCATTTCTGTGACCTTGTAAACAGCTGCTTTTCATTCACTATTATAAAAGTCTGTAGAGATTCTCAGTCATCCAGGTCAGGGTTGTCCCAAAAGTGCTTTTTCAGGAAGCAACTGGACTTTCTTGTTTTTCCTTTGAAGACGTTTTGCTTCTCATCAAAGAAGCTTCTTCAGCTCTGACAGGATAGTGGAGAATGGAAGGATTTATATTCGTTGAAGACAGCTGGTCATTTGCATCCTTTAGAGGGTCATTGAAGCACTTGGAGGTTTATCTGTGTCTTCAGGGTCACCTGAGTAGTGCTCCTGGTTCCTGTGGTCTGCATTTTCTCCCCTCTGGAAATCCATTCCTACTCCCACACCATTCAAAGGATGTTCATCCCAAATTGTACAGCTAAAAGTCTGTAGAGATTCTCAGTCATCCAGGTCATGGTTGTCTCAAAGGTGCTTTTTCAGGAGGCAACTGGATTTTGTTTTTTCTTTGAAAAAACCTTTTTCTTTTTTTCTTGTTTTTTCATTCACTATTATATTTATCTCTTGCTTTGGCTTGCTGAGTTTAGGACAACGCTCTCTTCTCCATTTTTTCCTGTACAACTACTCTGTGAAGTATGTTGGACTAAAGATAGACTAGTTTGAAATCAGTGAACTTGTATGGCTGAGAGTGTCCAATCTAGTAATCTACCATCCTAGTCTACCATCCTAACCTGGCTGTGTGTGATGCTGGTTACTTTCTCATGTTCTCTGAGGATTGAAGAGCAGACTATTTATGAAAGGTAACTTCAGCCATCAGCAGTTATGGCCATAAAGAGATGGGCAGCATATAAATTTAATAAATCCATTAAATTTATATTTAATTAATAATAAAGAATAGAAGGCTAATTTCCCAGACATTTCATATAGTAGCTAGTCATTTTTCTAAACTGTGGGCTTTATAGAGAACCAAAGGAGAAAATGTGATTCATGCAGCAGCCTCTAGGAACTCCTTAAATTAGCTGCAACTTTTCCTGAGCTCAAGCAATTGTCCCCTGCATTGACCCACAGTGTCAGGAATGTTAGTTTTCAGCTTTCTAACAATGTCTCTGTCAATGCAAACTCAGGAATGCATTTTGTAATTTGAATCCAAATCTCTGCACAATCCTAATGCACTGTTTTCAGCTGTTCAAAGAGCTTCAGCCCTTCCAACAATCCTGTACAGTAGAAGACGACTGTATTCACAGCAGAGCAATATGATTCTCATGGTATCAGAGGAGGTCAAAACTAAATGAATTTAGGTGACGGCTCACTTTAAACAGGCCGTTTGCTGCACCATGTTTGTCCAACATGTGGCTGTTACACAAGTTTGCACGGTAAGGCTTGTGAATAAAAGTCCCTGATACCTTGGCATTCTGTTCGACGATCAACTCTTGTGCATGTAGGCTTCAGTCTTATCTGCAGTTTATGTGAGTCCTGTCTAAGAATCTTCTGCCAAGTGTGAAGCATTGGGAGACCAGTGATCTATTGCTGAGCCCAGTTTAGGAGACTCAATACAATATGTCAGTGTAGTTCAATTCTTCCCAGGCAGAATTCTGGGGGTTAAAGTCCACCCAGGGGTGAAATCCAGCAGGTTCTGGAGAACCAGTAGCGGAAATTTTGAGCGGTTCTGAGAACCAGCAAATACCACCTCTGGCTGGCCCCAGAGTGGGGTGGGAATGGAGATTTTGCAATATCCTTCCCCTAGGAGTGAGGAGGAAATGGGGATTTTGCAGTATCCTTCCCCTCGAGTGGGGTGGGAATGGAGATTTTGCAGTATCCTTCCCATGCCCATGCTTCCCATGCCCACAGAACCGGTAGTAAAAAAAATTGGATTTCACTAGAGTCCACCCATTTTAAAGTTGTCAAGATTGGTAAACACTGCAATATAGGTCATATTGTTTCCCTTTTCTCATCTTTTCTACAAGATATATGTACCCTATTCTATTAATACCTCCTTAGAACTTGGAAAACCTGTCAGAAGTATTTGGGTAAGAATAAAAAGAGATACAAAAGTGATACCATTGTGGGAGTTTATTACAGATTACCCAGGTGGGCAAAAGATACTGATGAGGTTTTCTTGAATCACATGACCAAAACTTAAGAGAGACACACAATAGTGATAATGGAGAATTTCAATTACCTTGATATCAGCTAGAAATCTTGAGACAGAGTACAAATAAATCTTGCCTGTTCTTACTGACAACTTCATTTGTAGGAAGGTGGAAGAAAGGACAAGGGGTTCTGCTAGCCTGGATCTAATCATCAACAGGAATTGATTGAAGAAATGAGGGTGACTGGCACCTTGGGGAAAAGTGATGGTGGCTATTTATTTATATTAATTTAGAGCCTTTATTTGGCTGCCCAACTCAGAGAGCATGCCTTCTGGGTGGTGTTCAAGAAATCATCAAACCCAAAAAAGAAAGTATCAATAAAAACCCACCCAATGTTATCCTCAGAAGTGTGATATCCAGAGGAGGAGCAATTGAGAAGAATTCCAACAGACGGTAGACTGGACTTGGCTCCATTAGCTTCAAATCCTGAAGCAGAAAAACATTCCTGAAGGATGGAAAATCCTATGAAAGGAGATACTGAAGGCACAGTTACAAACAATCCACACAAAAAAGGGAAATTGAGAGAAATTAAACAGGACAGTGTGAATTTGTAAGATCTAAAAGCAGTGTTTCATCCTGAAGATGAAACTCAAATACTTTGGCTACCTAATGAGAAGGAAGGACTCACTGGAGAAGAGCCTAATGCTGGGGAAGATTGAGGGCAAAAGAAGAAGGGGACGACAGAGAATGAGGTGGCTGGATGGAGTCACTGAAGCAGTAGGCATGATCTTAAATGGACTCCAGAGGATGGAAGAGGACAGGAAGGCCTGGAGGAAGATTGTCCATGGGGTCGCGATGGGTCGGACATGACTTCACAGCTAACAACAAAAAAGCAGAGTAGATATATATTCACACATACACATACATTATTGGAGTGCACTAACAAAAGCATTAGACTCCAGATCATAGGAATTGCTAATTATTCTACTTTACTCTGCCCTTGTCAGAATCAATTAGAAATATATCCATTTCTGACAACCAGTGTTAAAAATGTACACTGACAAATTATAGCAAATTCAAAGAAGAGCCGCTAAGATGGGAGAGAGTCTGGTGACCAAGCCTCAGGAGGACCACCTAAAGAGTCAGGGTATGTTTAACCTACTGAAGGGAGAACCGATAGGAGATATGTCCCAAAGATGCTTTTTCAAGAGGCAACTGGACTTTCTGGTTTTCTTTTGAAGACGTTTCACTTCTCATCCAAGAAGCTCTGACTGGATGGTGGGGAACGGAAGGATTTAGTCAGAGCTGAAGAAGCTTCTTGGATGAGACGCGAAATGTCTTCAGAGAAAAAACCAGAAAGTCCAGTTGCCTCTTGAAAAAGCACCTTTGGGACAACCACGACCTGGGTGATTGAGAATCCCCATAGACAGATAGGAGATATGGTTGTGGTTTTTAAGACTTCAACACAGAAGAATGAATATATTTAATTCTTTATTGCCCCGAAGTGTAGAACCACTGGATTAAAACTAAAAGCTGGACACATTCGAGTTGTCCTCCAGTGCAACGATGTCATGTGTTCTTTTCACTAGAAAACTTCAAACAACAAAGGATGGTCGTCTACCAGAGAAGCCATTATGGATTCTATACTGAAAAAAAGAATTAGATTAGGTGAACTCAAAAGATCTCTTCTAGTTCTTTTGACATTTTGATGCCTATGTGTAAGCTTTTGGAGAACCAAGGCAGGGGCCATAGTAGATTGGACATGCCATTCTTTGTGAAGGATCAAGAATTTTTGTTTCTCTTCTCTGGAATTAGGTTTTTCTCCCTCTGCATTTTAAAATGACATTAAGCCAGAGGTCTTCAAACTTGGCAGCTTTAAGACTTGTGGACTTCCAACTCCCAGAATTCTGGGAGTTGAAGTCCCCAAGTCTTAAAGCTGCCAAGTTTGAAGACCTCTGCATTAAGCCAACATTAGGCTTTATATTATTGTTATACATTGCTGTCAATTTTCAAAATTTGTTGTCAATGTGGAAACTCTAATAAAATTAGCCTATTCCTGGCACAGGCCTTTGTTTCCAGTTCTCTGATTGTCCTCAGTGGCCCGATTGTCTTGACAGTGTAATATTTATAGGCTCCTTTCTGACCATTGCAGAGCAAGGTGGAATTATAATTCTACTGAGGCAGCCAAAACTCATGTTTGCTTTTTGCAGAGATGTCAGCCTGACTCTTATTCAGTTTGGAACAACTCTACTTCCCAGAGATTACTCACATGACCAACCGTGCCAACTAGGCTATCATCTGCATTAGCAAAGCCAGCACAAAAATCACCCCAAATGGGTAGTGTTGAATAAGAAGCTATTGATTTAATTGCAATGATGGCCTGTCCAGCCGGTGTGCGGGGATTTATAGTTCACGCTGGTGCCCTCTAATCAATCTTCAACTCCTAAATGTTTCACAGCCATCAGCACAAAAAGACCTGACCTTGTGGAACAGGGACAGACTATCAGAAGAAAAGCTGCCAGCCTCTCTTGCTAAGAAGAGGATCCTTTTAATTTCTTGCAGAGAAACTGGCAGCCACTTCAAACCAGGTGGCTTAATCCACAAACTGGCCCCAAGAGAAGCCCACAATCCTGCCTTTTTGATTTTTTTCCCCCTCTTCATTCTGTTTGCTTCTTCTGTTTTTTGTTACAGCTATACTGAGGAATGCAACTGGCAAAGTGACCTTGGTGCTTTTATAGTGATTAAAGAGCCTTCAAAGCATCTCAAGCTGGAAGAGACCACAAGAATCCCTTCCCGCAAGAATTCAATCTTCTACCAGGTGAATTTCATAAGTAACATTAAGTAAAAAGTAGTATTGTTCTTCAGGATAGGTAATGCTTTGTTATATCCTTATATGCAGGTGGAAGAAGAGAAGTAGCTAGGCCGCCACTGGAGTTGTGCAGGAATGGATTTTTCAGTTGAGACCCAGGATCCTTCGTCTCCTCGCTGGGTCTCCTGTCCATCAAACCAGAAGTCCCATCTCATTTCAGGCCGGCAGAGCTACAAAACCAACAAAGCCACAGTCAAAAGAGTGTTATTTGGTAGTTTTTCTCCCCTCCCCTCCCTTTGTATATAAAACTGTCACTTTCTCTCTCTATCCCTAATGAGAGAAAACAACCAGTAAATTGGCGGCCGACCCCGACAGGCGACCCCAAAAGGTAGCTGCTGCCGCCGCCTTCTCCGCACTTTTGCCCGCGGAAACTTCGACGTGCCGCTGGGCGCTTCCACCTGCCCGCTCCCGGGCAGCGCGAGCGAGGCTTGGGAAAAGCGGAGCTCGTATCCCCGGCGCCCTTCGAGCTCGTGGGGGGGGAGGGGGAGGGCAGCAAGCGTCTTCCGTCCTACGGCTGAAGAAGGAGGGAAAACGATTCCAGGCCAAATCAACGCTGAGGGGCCTGACTCTCCAGCAGCAGCGTCCCAGCAGAAGTCGCTCCTTCCCCTCCACTCCCCTCCCTCCCTCCGAAGCAGGCGCGCTTTCCTCTCGTGAGTTCCCTTTCTGGAGCCCCAAACGTCAAGCGGCGGTCCCATTCGAAGCAGCCTCAAAGCGAGCCGGCAAGCGCAGGAATGGTTCACGCGGTCTCTTCCCGGGCGGACGTGAGGCAAAGTTTCCCTGAAGCGGCCTGGCAGAGACGGAAGAGGAAAGTAGGAGCGCGAGCCGGCCGGTTACTTGCCGCCACCATCATCCCCACCCTCCTGCTCCTCATTCTCTTCCCCCCCTTCCTCATTTCCCCCCCCCGCCCCCCCCCCCCCCCCGCCGGCGGCATTGGTGTCCGGGCGCCGCTTCGTCGCGTCCAGCTAAGGCGCTTGTCGCCAAGTGGCGGCGCGTCTGCCCGGCACGGGTGTTTTTATTTGAGGCCAGGCGGAGCGAGGGCCGGCCCAAACAGGCGGGCGCTCCTCCGCCTGCCCGCCCCTCGATATCCCGCCCTTCCCCGGCGGGCGGCGCTGGACGCTTCCAGTCTCCGCCACTCGAGCGCGCTTCTGACTGCGGAGGAGTCGCCGGCGCCGGCGCCGCCGCGGGAAAGCTTCATGCGGCAGCGAGGCGAGCGGCTTTCGGTCAGGCGGCAGCGGCAGCCTTCTTTTCTGGCTCTCGCACCAGCGGCCGCAAAGCCGGGGATGGAGCTGGCTGCGGCGGGCTGCGAACCTCAACCGAGGGGCGTCGGAGAAGCCCAGACACGGTCGGGGAGCGTCCGGGCGTTGCTGCGTTACTGCCGCCGCCGCTGCTGCCTCCGCCTTCGTTAAAGCAGCGCCTGGCCGAGGCTCCGACTCCATCGCGCTCCTCCTGTGCCGCTCGTGACGGCGATGTGAACGGCGGCAGCTAGGAGGGAGGTGGTGGAGGCGCTCGAACTCCGCGGCGGAGCTCCGATCGGCGGCCGGGGAAGAGAGAGAGCGGGCGGGCGGGCGGGCGGGCACCGTGTTCGTGTGTGAGCGCGGCGGGATTGGATGCAACCGGGCGAGCGGAGAAAGCACCGACGGGTGTGGGGCAAGGTCACGCCCGGCCAGATTCACTTCCCGCCGCCGCCGCCCCCGAAGCTTTCCATGGGGCCGGCGACGCGGTTTGAGCGCTCGAACCGAGCCGGCCGCTTCGGGCCCGACCCGAACATTGCTGACCGGCGCCTCTTACCTCTAGGATGCGGCGGTTGCTGCTGCTAAGCGAAGCACTGGAGCAGGGACGTGGAAGGCGGCCGTGGGAGAAGGAGCTCCCCGGGCGGTCGGATTCCCCGGGAGGCAGCAGGTAAGTGCCGGCGAAGGCTTCCTTTTGCTTTCTGCATTGCAGCCCCCGCGCAACTGCCGGCGGGAGGGCTGGGCTGGGCTGGACTGGGCTGGGTCGGCGGAGCGGCGAGAGGTGCGGAAAGGCTCCGGGGAGGGGATCTTCCAAGGTGGCGTCTTTTTTTTTTTGGCGCGATGGGAGTGGAGGTGAGAAAGGAAGCGAGGCGGTTTTCCATTCCGTCCTCCTAAGACGCGTCGGGGGGAGCGAGAGGCGCCCCCGGCCCCGCCAGGTGTGGCCGCTGCGTCTTAAGCGGTTTTTCCCTACCGGGCCGCCGGCAGAAAAGACGGGCGAGAAAGTGTCGCCATCGCCGACATTCAGCCGTCTTGCCCTGTTATTTCTTGGCCCGGTAAAAGAGGCGAAGGGAGCCTTTGGTGGACAAACCCCTCCCCGCGCCGTCTACATGGAGGTGGGGAAGGGAGGGCGGGAAGGTCCCGCACCCCCCCTCTCTCCTCCCCCCCCCCTCTCTAAACGGTTCTGGAGTTTTCTTGCTACTTCGGCTTTGGCAGACTGGGGGAGCTCCAGGGCCGGCTTTGGAGTGGATGGCTGTGCCGGCGCTTTAGACGGGGAGTCCCCACGGAGGGCAAGCACATAAAACCCGCTTTTATTTTTTATTATTATTATTTTTTTTTGCTCGCTCTCTCCCTGCCTCTAGCGCGCAAATCCGGGGCACGAAGGCCTTTGGATTCGCCTGTGTGTGTGTGTAACCGTTTTGCCAGGGAGTCGGAGCTGCTGTATGGGGGTTTTGTCGGACGCCCCCCCGGGTCACTTCACCACCCCCTTTTCGTGGGGACCCCGCCTCGCTTTCCTTTTTTGCCTGCGTAGATTTTTTTCCCCCCCAGCCAGGATGGGTGTTGGGTGTATAGAGCCTCGCTTTTGGATGGTTGTCCCCTCGGCCCTTCAACTCTCCTGGGGTTCGGTTAGCCTAGGCTCCCTCGGGTCCCTCCCCACCCCCCCCATGCTTTTGCAAAGCTTTGGCAGCAGAAAGTTCTCAAGGGGGTTGCCTTGAGCCCAATGAAAGACCAATGAAAGACCTGGCGAGGAAGGCAAGTGGATCCCCAGGTGGGAGAGCAGGAAAGAGGTGTAGACTCTGATCCAGGCAGGGCATCTGGGAGGCCAAGAGCCAAAGTGCAGGGACAAGGAATGGGGGTGGCTCTGAAAGGAGAGGGGAAGGGGAAATCTGCCTTTTGGGCCCAGAGAAAGAAGAGGAGAGTCCAGTAGGAAGTTGCAGTCCATTGGGGTGTTTGATCTTTCAGCTTGGCCCACCTTTGAACAATATTTTTACTACAGCCCTGCATGTCCATCTGTGACCTGGGGGTTTTATTAAAGTGCTTTTCTCCTGTTTTTCATAATATTCTAGGTTATTCTTTAAGATACTTTAGGATTTCCCTTGTGTAGGGAGTATTTTTTTTTTTTTAAATTATCTACTCACTTGGATTCTGGGCCTTTGGTATGTGCAGCTGGGAAATGAAAGGGGCAGACTAGGCAGGGTGGGCAAGAATGATTATGGGGATCTCTCCAGAGAGGAAGGCTGAGATGGGATCTGCTTCCTTTGGAGAGGGCTGCTTTAATGGGATTGAGATGTGGAAGAAAGCAGAGGGCAAGTTGGAGCTTTTTCCAAGCTAAGTGAAACATCTTTGGCTTTGATTGGTGCTACTGTTGGTTCTTTGTGACTTTGGACATTATGTTCAACTTTGAAAACAGCCTGCTCCATTCTAGTTCATCTTGGAGGGGAAGGTGCATTGTTTGACCCTGCTTTCTTTCTGATATTGGTCTCTATTCAGCTTGTCCTGTGTCAGGCACCTCCCTTTCTAAGACAGTTTATTTCATCCGTCCAGCAGATTCAAGTTTTGGCATGGCTTTGCTAATGTAAATATAAAGGGGTAGCTTTGCTCAAACTGGGTAGATCAGAAAAGAGTTTCGTTCAATGACTACCTCTGTCATAAACTGAATAACATTTCTGTGAACCCTGGTTATCTTGCTTTCCATTTGCAGAATTGTCATAAACATGTTGGCTTTCCTTATAAGGCTGTATTGAATACGGGTGATATAGTAGATGGTACACACCTTATAGCTGTTTTTATTTGAGGAGGTTCCAAGTAGCTGCAAAAGAAAAAATCTAAAATCTTGTATAACCAAGGAAAACTTCAAAAGAGGAGTCTATATGTTCATTTTTATAGATGAGACACAGGGCTGTAGTGACCTTTATAGATATAATAGCTCTCTTCTCTGGAGATCAATATTTATTCTGTCTGAGGATTTGGTAATAGGGCTGTTTTTATAGGAACATCTTTGGGATGGGATCACAGTAGATATTCTGCTCTGAAAATGATTAGCAGAGCTTTGTGATTAGAAGGCCGTGTTGGGCCTGAGCCCAGGATGCAGGGATGGTCAGTAAACTGCACAGCTTCATGAGTGGCAAAGGTAGTCCTTGACTTACAACAGTTCATTTAGTGACTATTTGAAGTTAGAACAGCACTGAAAAAACTGACTTATGATTTTTTTTCACACTTATGACCCTTGCACCATCCCCATGGTCACATGATCAAAATTCGGGCGCTTGGCAACTGATTCGTATTTATGATGGTTACAGGCTCCTGGGGTCATGCAATCACCTTTTGCAAACTTCCGACAAGCAAAGTCAACGGGGAAAGCAGATTCACTTAACAACCATGTTACTAACTTAGCCATTGCTGCGATTCACTTAACAGTTGTGGCAAGAAAGGTCATTAAATGGGGCCAAATTCGCTTAACAGCAGAAATTTTGGGCCCGATTGTGGTCGTAAGTTGAGGACTACCTGTATTTGAGGGCTTCACATTCCACTGCATGGAAGGCCTTTGGCTCAGATGTGACAGAAATGAGCAGGTTGCTGCAAGCCAGGCTTTTCAAGGTGACCCACCTCTGACTTGCTTCAATCGCAAAGGAAAGAGTGATTGATGTTGCAGATCTGTCCTGGGTTTAGTTGCTTGGAAATATTTGGGGGTGAAGACAGCTTATTGTCTTTGTTTTCAATAAGGTCTGAAATTAACTACTAATTCCTGCTGAAAATACTGCCATTTTCCCAGGAAACAGATATTGATTTTATTTCTGAATATGAGGATCTTATTGGAAAAAGTGTTCCCTTTCTTTTAGAAAAGCATGGGAAAAGAGTTGACTTCCAACAAGTGATTTGTCTCAAGGTACTGTGGGTTAGAACAAGGACCATTTTTTTTGCAGCCTGTGCTTCCTATGACTTAGATGCCCTTGGGCCTGAATTGGGTAACATTTTAGATGGAAGGAACAGGATTTACAAGGTATGACTCGCTTCTTGCCTCTGCAATTGCAATAGGCAACCTAACTGTAAAAGCCTCAAATACAAGAACAAAAGAATTTAGGCAAGATGTGACAAAATGAAGTGTGTGTGTGTGTGTGTGTGTGTGTGAGAGAGAGAGAGAGAGAGAGTGAGAGTGCTTGTGTGCATGCATAATTGAAAGTAGGCAATTTTCTAAACTTCTGATTTTCTCTCCTGCAATTTGAGTCACACATGAGCAATTGTAGTGCCCAATTTGATAGATTGGGAAGGGAAATGATACTCCACCAACACAGATTTTTTTTCCCCTGCATCCTTCTGACAAATGCTAAAGGCAAGTTGATTTAAATTAAAGCCTCATTGAAGTGCAGCTTGGTTCCTTGGGACCATGTGACAGTCATGTTGAAGGCCATACTCTGGAAGTGGTTTGCCAGTGTGACCTTCTGGCATGCATGCATGCATGCATGCATGCATGCATGCATCCATCCATCCATCCATCCATCCATCTATCTATCTATCTATCTATCTATTTATCTATCTATCTAATAATCTATCTTCACCCTTGGGATATTCTGATAGGGTGTTGAACCCTAGCTTTTGCTAGGTGTTGTCACCTGCCACTTAACTTCAACCTCTGAAAACCTCTATAGCTTGAAGATGTTTCTACAACCCTTCCATACATACCCATCCTTGCTTTCCTTTGTTAACAAGACTGTGCTGGATATGGACATGGGAATTGGACAAGAGATATTCAGGCATTGGGTACTTTCCTCTTCAGAGTCTGCATTCCCCAGGAAGTGCTAGAGAACCTTGGGCCAGTTCAAATTCTTGCCTGGTTTGCAAGCCTCTTTTCTCTGTAGCCTTGGTAGAGAATGGTTAAAATTAAATGCCTGGATTCCTATAACATGCTTAGTTTTAAGCCTGTCTTAAGAAAACATGGCTCCTCTGCTCACATAACATGCTGTGACCAAAGAAATAAGCTGTATTATGAATGAATGTCACGGTCTGGCTTATCCTTGATGTTTGTAGGTTGTCTGGAATCTGTTATGAGGAGGGGTGTTATCTTTCAGAAATGGGCCTATGCCTAGATGTGTTTTGTGTGAAATGTATTTCTCTGCCTCGGTGAGATACCTGATTTCCAAATCAAGAGCTTTTGCATACGGCAGAAGACCTGATTATCCAGGTCAATCCACGGTTTAGAAATGGAATGCTACTTCAACACCCCCCCCTTTTCTAACGCTTATTTCTAATCAGAAAATGTTCCAGTTCATGAATTTATTATAGATAGAATAAAAAATGAACACTAACTTCAAATACCATATTGGGCAAGTTGGACAGTTCTGAGATTAAACGTTATTTAGTTTTTCATCTGTAGCAGGAATGTGAGAGGGTTCATTCCCCATCCACCCCATAATTTTCTGAAAAGAATGAAGCTCTGAGAAACAATTTCTGGGATGGAGTGGGGAGGGAAGCACAATGCATTATTAGCTGGAAGATTTCCTAAATATTTTTGAGCCAAATCTACTTGGCATTTGTGGGAAGAATGTTTCAGGGAAATTCAACTGTGATGTTAGCAGGTGGAAATAGATAATGGTATGGAACGGAAAAATATCCCGCAGTTTAAATCTGCACAGATTTTGAAGGATTAAAATCTTGTCAGACATAGTTATAATCATGGGTAACATGGTTGCTTGAAAACTGTCCAAAATGGACAGTGATGCAGCTGGCAAGACAGCTGGCACTCAGCCAATATTTTCTTTTTTACAAATGAAAGCAGGGAAATTCTTGAGAGTAATTAAGAAAGAACCTAGTGGGACCAAGCAGGTGTCCCATTTAATGGTGCTCTGTTGGTTGATGGATCTCTGAGATTTGTGATATAGAAGGAGGCATTTATTCCAGGAACAAGCCATCGTTCATTCAAGAGAAAAGAGGTAGCTTCTGTATTTCACTGATGCTATCCTGAATTTATGGCAATTCTGAAGTCAAGATAGTGGCTGGGAAGGATGCAGGTAATCCTTGACTTACAACCATTCATTTAGTGACGGTTCAAAGTTGCATGATAAAAGGGACATATGATTGGTCTTTCCACTTATCAGTGTTGCAGCATCC